GCGGGGCCCCCTCTCCACCCCCTCAATGTTTTTTTTTTTTTTTTGTAAATAGGAGGCTATATTGTCATCTCCAGGTGACATTTGTCAACATTTGTAGATATTTAGGATTGTTCCAATTGGGGCGGGGGGAAATGCTAGCATTTCCTGGGTAAAGAAGTTGGGAGTGCTGCTAAACTTCCAAGAGTGTAGAGGAAACCCCTGCTTCCACACACAGGAAAGAATTTCCCACCCAAAGATGTCCCGGCAGTGCTAGGTGTGACACTGTGCTTCAACAAGTCAGACAATGCACCCATAAACAATATCGGACATTGTCTTGTGTGTTCTTAAACATCATGTACAAGATTCTGCTATAGTGTGGCCCATATGTCTCCAAAAGGCCTGGAGTTAAGAGCTTGGTTCCCAGTCCACACTGCTACGGAGAGGTAGTGAAACCTTTAAGAGATGGGGACTTTGTATCCATATCCTTAAAGGAGATCACAGAACCCTGTTGTTTTGTTTCTAAAACTCCTTTTCACTTCCAGTCCACAGATATGGTTAGTTTTACTCAGAGGGGTAAAAGTAATGGGTCCACTCAGTCATGAACTGGAACCTCTAAAATCATGAGCTAAAATAAACCTTTTTTCTTTATTAGTTCAGGTAGAGGTTATAATAACAGTAAGCTGGTTAATACAATGTCATAGTCCATGTACATTTCTACTGTCTTCGGTATTATAAAGTTCTGTTTCTATACCAATGTCAACAGACCTACTTCAATTGTTTTAATTTTTTCCACTCAAAGTAGTTGGTGCTGTTGCTAAAGCATGCTGGCATCAAACATGAAGTAGAAGGGTCTAGGATGATCCCTATTTTACAGCTTAGGCAACAGAAGCCTTGTTGAGGGAAATTGCCATTATCTAAGAGGAAGTCATGGAGCAGGAATTAAGTCCAGAGTCTTAAATTCTTCCGTTTTTGCCCCATTAGTCAAGCACCCTCTCAGTCAAGCTCTGAGTGTCTTAGAACCCTGAACCTAGGCTAAGCCCCTTGTTGCTCACCTTTATGGGCTTGAATTCATGCTTGACCAGCCAGTTGCTAAGCAACAGCAGAAGGAAGAGGAATCCAAACAAGACTGGCTTATAGCCTATCAGCCAAGCCACAACTGCACCTAGGGCGCCAGAAGCAGCAAGTACCCCATGGAAACTCCTCAGAAGAAATATTAGTTCCCCCAACATTATGGCACAAGGGCACGCAGGCCCTAGGCCCCTGCCTTAGTTCCCTCCATGACAGGCAACTCAGCCACCCTCTCTGATGCATAACCATCTCCCTCCCCTGCCTACTGTGGCATAACAATAATATACTCTAGGGTCCACTGTGTGCCAGGCTAACTGGCAGGCAGTTTGTAAGTGTCACCTTAGGACGTCCTCATGACAGCCAGGTGAGGTAGGCCTCAGCAATGTCTCTCATTTGACAATGATACAGAGCACCCATAATGAGGGAGATGACAAAGAAAAATTATCCCAAACCTGGAAACAAGGCGAAAAGATTGTTGTGTGCACTTTCAGAGTCACACCGTGATATTGTCTGCTTGGTCAGCTGAGGCTTCAGGGGAAGGTAACTACTTTGCTTGTGTGTGTGTACACATGTGTACATGGGAGTGCCATGGTGCACGTGTGGAAGTTGGAGGAGCTGGTTCTCTCCTTCTACCATGTGAGTCTGTGTGATCAAAGTCATGTTGTCAGGTTTTGCACCTGAGCCATCTCACTGTCCCCCCCTTTTATTTTCTTTATTATTTGTGCGTGTGTGTTCATGTGTGTGGCAGTACTTGTGTGTGGGTGCGTGTACATGTGGAAGCCAGAGAACCTCTTTATTTTTTGAGACAGGGTCTCTCACTGGAACTTGGGGCTTACCAATTAGCCTTGGCTGGCTGGCCGGCCAATGAGCTTCAGGGATCCTTTAATCCTAGCACTAGGGAGGCATAGGCAGGTGGATCTCTGGGAGTTCAAGTTCAGCCTGGTCTACATAGCAAGTTCCAGGCCAGCTGGGACTATGGGGAGACCCTGTCCCAAAAAGACCAAAAAAAAAAAAAATGTGGGGGGGGCTGGAGAGCTAGCTCAGTTGGTAGAGTACTTACCCGATGTGATGGCTAGTGTTGTTGGTTTGACAGAACCTAGAATCACACAGGAGATAGGCTTCTGGCCCTTATTTTGATTATGTTAATTGAGGTGCAAAGACAAGGCATCTTTCCATGGCTTGGTTCCAGTACTTTGTAAGTGGAGAAAGGGAGGTAACAGCACTCCCGTTCATCCTTCTCTGCCTCCTGACTCTGGACATAATGTGACCAGCTTCCTCAAACTCCTGCTGCCTTGACTACTTTCTCACTACGATGGACTGTACCTTGACCCTTCAGCTAAAATAACCCTTTTCTCTTTAAATTGCTTTTGTCAGGATGTTTTACCACAACAAGAAAAAAACCTACTATACCTAGATCAAACCTAATGAATGAGGTTTGATCCCCAGCACTACATAGACTGGGTGTGGTAGCACACTCTGTGTAATCTCAGCATTCAGGAGGTGGAGGCAAGGAAGATCAGAAGTTCAAAGTTGTCCTTGGCTACTTATTGAATTCAAGACCAGCCTGAGATATAGGCAATCTTGTATCTGACTAAATAAATGTGTGTGTGCACACCCACACACCCACACCCACCATGGAATATTATTCAGCCTTCAAAAAGTAGATTATGAGATGCCGAACCTTGAGGATACTATTCAAAGTGAAATATGTAAGTTACAAAAACAACAAAATAAAACAAGTTCCTCTGTATGAAATTCATCCAGACAGAAAGTCAAGTGGCGACTGCCAGGAGCTGGTGGGAAGGGAGAATACTGTGCCTACACTGTTATTTTTTGATTTCTCAATTTTGACATGTATCATGTTTTTAGGATGGGAGAGCAGGATTTAGCTCCATGCAGCTTCCCCACATTATCAGCTGTTCCCTAAACAGTTAAGGTCTTTCCCACAAACTCTGTTCTCCATTCTCTCAGTATAAGTCCATCATAGTTATATTATGACCATGTCAATATAGTTTACAGAAGAGACATATGTTGTAATGTGATTACATTTTCTTTCTTGTAAAACTTTTTTTTTTTTTGGAGACAGGGCTCACTATGTAGCCCTGGATGGCTGGAACCTGGTATGTAGACCAGACTGGCCTCAAACTCACAGAGAGCCACCTGTCTTTGCTTCCCAAGTGCTGTGATTAAAGGCCTGCCTGCAAGCTCCCCCTCCCCCCCCTTTTTTTTTTACTATTTTATTTATTATTTTTTGCATATGAGTGTATTGCCTCCATGTATGTAAGTGCATCTGTGTTGTGCAATGGCCACAGAGGTCAGAAGAAGGCATCAGATTCCCCTGCAACTGGAGTTACCATCACTTGTTAGCCTCCATGTAGGTGCTGGGAATTGAACATAGATACTGAAGAGTACTTCAAGAGCAGCCAATGCTCTTAAACTGCTGAGCCATCTCTCTAGTTTAAAAGCCTTTTTTTCTAAAAAGGCCTATTTTATATGTATAGTTCAATGAGTTTTGATGAATATCTATACCCCTTAACCATCACCCCAATCATGATATGGAATTTTCCTCAAACTCTTTTGCAGTCTACCTCCCCACCCTTATCCTAGGCAGCTGCTGACTGGATTTTATCACTAGAGTCATTTTACCAGTTTTTCAACTTCATGTATGTGGAATAGTCTTTTGGAAACTATACTTTGAAGCAGCACATAATTAAAGAAGCAAGTTTGGGTCTGTATAGAAATAACATCGAAGAACAAAAGACATGTTCCAATGTTAGGTCAAGGAGGATATTCCTGGAAGAAATTCAATGAATTCAATGAATAAACCATCACATCATTAGAAAGAACTGACCTGGGGCAAGGGGTGAGTGGGGGTGGGGATTGGGGGGACACACGGGACGGACAGGGAAGTGGGGGGAGGCTGGAGAGATGGCTCAGCAGTTAAGAATACTGGCCGCTCTTGCAGAGGACCCGAGTCGGTTACCTGTACTTATGTGGCAGCTAACAGGAACTCCAGTTTTAGGGTATCCGATGCCCTCTTCTGCCCTCCAGACAATGCAGGCATGCACAGACTTGGTGCACTTACGTACATGCAGGCAAAACACTTATACACACAAAATGAAGATAAATACAGTTAAAAAAAAAAACTGAACTAAAGTAGAAGAGGTATTATTCGTCTGGAGTGGGGAATTGGGAGGGGTGGGAAGGAGTGGATGCAGCCAAGGAACAGACCCTAGAAAGAACGTGAACAAGGCTTGGCAACTAGGACGATTCCATTTGGACTCAAACCTCGCTTTCCTCACTTCCTTCCATTTTGTTACCATGGAAATTCATGTGTTATTCATTTTCCTCCAGTCCAAGCAGGACAGCTGTGTCGCTAGTCCCCCAGTTCTAGCGATAACCCAGGGCCTTACGCAAGCTAGGTAGGCGCTATACCAGCTCACGGTAATTATGAAGAGACCTAACCTTCATCCTTCAGGGTGTTCCCTAGCCTCAATTAGACTGTACGCTCTTTGAAAGCCAGAGTTTCATAATTCAATCCCTAGTTGTACAGTAAGTATTAATGCATTAATACATATTAGTTGATGTGGATGGGTGGATGAGTGAGTAAACAAGGAGAGTTCCTGTTGGAAATGGTCGGCCTTGGGAGGTGCAGAATTCCTAAATCCAACAGAGGTGCTGGAGCCAACTCCCAAACCCAGGGGGCGCCGTAGGGCAATTTCGCGCTCGGGGCCTCCGTGCCGCTCTAGCCTCCAGGGCGCAGCTCTATGGCAGCGGGAGGAGGGGCCCATGGGCACTCGGGGCTTTTTTGTCCTGACGCGTCGGGAGCGCGCAGAGCGCGTGCGTACGCGGCGGCTGCAGCGGCGGCTGCTGGCTGAGTTAGGACCGTGTGAGACTAGGCGCGGCGGCTCCGGACTCACGGAGCGGCAGACCGAACGGCCCCTGCGGCCGGCGGCGGCCAGGCGGCCCGAGATGCTGTCGGGGAAGAAGGCGGCGGCGGCGGCGGCGGCGGCGGCGGC